CTTCCTAATTTGGTGTTGTAGGATTTATTTGAAAGAGCTGCTCACCTCAGGTCCTTCAACAACATTCTTAGTGGATGTTAAAGCCTTGAATTTGTTCTTTTTCAAAGAAAAAGGAACATATCTTGACATCTGTCATCAATAAAAACAAACTGTCCTGACGCCATCTAGCCAAAAAGGCCCAAACCATGACTCCAGGTTTCGCAGATGGGATACAGTAATTCAAGCGTAAGGGGTTTCGTGCTCTCAAAACATAATGTTTTCAGACACTTTCTTGGTTTATCTGCTGACCACACAATGGGCTGCGCCATCTCTCCATCTTAATCACAAGAAAGAGACTTTAGACAGGCAACAATGCTCCTTTTAAATAACTGTGGCTGTCTTTTGTCAGATGGCTACCTTGCTTGAGTATGGTTCTACCAGAGGTTTCCTCTTGTTAAAAGGAAGTTTTTTCATTTCTGTAGTTACCTTGTGCAACGTCAGGATGGGGGAAAGAGAAGATTTGGTGCAATTTCCCGGCTTCGGTCGCTAGGAAGGCTTTTTTTTAGTAATTAAATGGACTTAAATTAATTGCATTTGAATTTTATTACAATGAATTGGATTCTAATTTGCTTGTACTGTATTTTCAAAGCTTATGAAGTTTATTTATTACACCATGGTGACTGTAACATTGTCCCTTGAATATCCTCCTTGTACATTCATTGGACTAGATTATCTTTCTCATTCTGTCTGAGAGTCAAATAGTTGATGATTATCATCACATTAACAGAAAAATATAGACAATTCCAGAGGATTCATTAAATATCATGGAACATAGAGCTTTTTCTTGTTAGTGCTGTCCAGGTAAAAAGGATTTAAAGATGAAACATGCTATTCTATTCATATATGCTCATTACATTCTCCATTGACACAACTGTGTAACCTCATTAATACTTAAATCAAACAGTTTGAACTCACGTCAGTTAGAAATTCAGAAAAACTTCTGAGATTTACAGATTAAATATATTCATGGAACAAGTAAATTGGCTTATACAGAAATTAAAGTACATTTGTAAATACATAGTATGGGAGCTATGATAAGGGCCGGTGGCAGGTCAGGTTAAATAACAGACAAGAAAGTTAGTGGAAGTTTTTGCAAAAGACGGAAGTTGTGAAAAGGACAAGATTAAAAGGCTTGACGACAAACACAAAATTAAACCTTGACGTTTGAGCTTAACAGCAACATAGGAAACTTAAACATACAATATGAATATGAAGAATCATGACAAAAAAAAAGAACCAGAATGTCTAAAAGTAACGATTATCTTTGATATACATGTACCTTTCATGAGTGACTGGAAAAGGTAGCAGTCCCTGCCAGGGAGTCATTGATTATCTCTAACTTGCACTGATTATCCTTTCTATTTTCTCAAAAGCACACAGATTCAGAAATTGCATGAAGACCATAGACAATTTGTTAAAAAATATCAAGAGTTGAAGAATATCATTCTTTTAAAAAGTATGTATTAAAATTACTATTATTACATGTTATTACGTGTTATTAAAACACCATTAAAAAATGCTGTTTATTCTTCATTACAGGAATAATTCAATTGATTCAATGGATTCTTCCACTGTCCAAAAACATCCATGCTAAGGTATCTAAATTATAATAGAAGTGTGTGGTGGTTGTTTGTCTCTGTGTGGCCTTGTGAGGGACTGGCAACCTTTCCAGGGTGTACCCCACCATTCGTCCAGTGTTAGCTGGGATAGGCTCCAGCTTCCCGACAACCTCACTTAGAATAATAGTTATTGATTATAAATGGATGGTATAACCAAAACGGGTAAATGTAACTAAACTTCTACCTGATCTATCGGGCATTTAAGGAGATGCCATGGATCATTCTGTGTCCCATTTTTACCCAGTCTGACCAGCTGGCCTCTATCTTTCTGCATATTTTCAATGTTTCTCTTCAGTTATAGCTCCCTACAGCTTCAAAGCTTCTTTGGTCCCTATTAAGCGTCTTGGTCTGATATCAAATTACTTGAGGTCTGCTTTCTTAAATTCAGCAGAGGTAGGACCCTTCAAAAGGCTTGTGCTAACCTATTGGAGAACATAGGCTCTCAGGAGAGAGTATTTCCAGTTGGCCTTATTAGGGGCAACAGTCTTAATCTTGCTTTGTGAAAAGGATGTTGGCCAACCGGCCATCTTGTGTTTCCAGAATATGCATCCAACACTTATATTTAACCTGTGATAAGAAACTAGTCGATTTGTTTTCATATCAGAAGAGATTAATCTATTTGAAATCATACAGACTCTCTGGTAATGTAAAACTTCAGTGGGGAAGATCTGATCTGTTCCCCTATTCTGCAGGCCTCAGGTTTTTTTCTCCAATCTCCACCGTCTCTTCCTCAAATAAGTTGAGCATCCATTGGTATTTTGCACTTACAATCATTCATTGCACATCCCTATCAAGATGATGTTTGAGTATGAACGCTAAACAAAAATAGTTTAATCTAACTGTGCATGTGAATACATTTACATCAATCCTTTTATTTTTACTAATCACATAACTAAATCGCATACTTTAAAGAACCTAATTAGATGTACGGTACATATCCATTCAGTATCAATTTATGCTCTCAAACCCAAGAATTGTTTATTTAATAGAGCTGTTTTGAATTAGATTCTATATATCTTTTGTCCCTATTAATTGCACACAACATACACATCCTTAATTATCCGTTGTCTTCCTCTTATCCAAGGTTGTGTTAGAGAGGCAACAGGTCCAGAAGAAAAACACACCCCAGTTTCACACTCTTTGTTATAGACCTGTGTTAACATGACACAAACAGGCTGGACACGGCCTTGTCCTCAGGATGTGCAAGTTACCCTTATTATATGAACTCGAATGTTGTTGTCATGGTAAAGGTTTAATTTTATAATGACGTTTGTGTTTCAATAATTTGTATCGATTGTATTTTTCTCTCATGAAGCTTGAGAAAAACTAATTGGGGTTTATATATGCTTTGATGTCCACTATTGGTAACAGAAGAGCTAGGCTATTGATTTATTGTAAAAACTAAAATATCTCTGCTTTTTCTTAGTTTTTCTGTATTTATGTTTTCACTTCCCAAAATCTAAAATACAATTACTACACTACAATTTACAATCCAGCTTGAAGCTTGATAAAAGGCTAAGAGGAGCCAAAATAGTTTGACAAATTGTCGTACATATACTGTTATACAACATCCATCCATTTGATTTCTATACCATTTATTATAAATCAGTGTCATGGGGGGGCTACAGCCTGTCCCAGTTGTCACTGGACGATATGGTGGGGTTCACTGGACAGGTGGCCAGTTTCTAACTGGGCCATTTATTCGTATTCTTCCAGCTATTTCTGTTTTGTTAGGTTTTGTTAGGTGGCATATTTGCTATGGTGTCTTGAATGTAAGCGATACTGCAATCTATTTTGTAATCTTCCACAAAAGGGGAAGAAATTAGCAGTTTGAGATAAGATTTTATATTTTCAGACCAATCCATTCCCCCCCCCCCCCCACTTTCATTTTATAAGAGCAGTTTTCCACGTGTGATATAAAGTCCAATGCAACAGAATCACAAAATCGCCTCTTCAAAAGCTTTAAATCCAACCACAAAGCCTTAGAAAAAAAATCTATTGGCTATTAGGGAAAACCTTTTCCCTCCTCACACAAAGCACGGAGCAAAAGTTAACAACCACTGAAGAAATAGAAGACACAAGTGCCTCTGCCTGTTTGGCCTCTTTTCACTGACAGCAGATGAAAGGAAATGAAGTGTTTAAATAGGAGAGGAGCTGTCTGTTAATGTCCACGGATACACTACCATTATTGATGTGCACACATGTCTTTCTTTCTTTGTAGCAAAAAAATAAACAATTAAATATTTTGTAGTTAAAACTGCTGAAAAATGACACAATGTTTCAATGTTTGAGTGGCCAGAAGTTATCATTTACAGATGAGAAGTGGTCAGATAATCAATTTAACACAAAACCTCAAGAGAATATTTGAATATTTCATCAAATCTACCCCTGAAGTAGGTAATACCCTCAATAATGTGCTTTAATTAGATTTCTTTGTATGGATAAGACTTTAGTGGATTATGATCCCAGTCTTTCTCCATGAATTACCCTTTGAGAAATATATGTTTATTTATACATGTGATGATGAAAGATGTAAATGAAATAGTTCCAGCTGCTCCAAAACAGATTTAGCATTTTTTTTGTAAAACAGAAGATGTTCTAACTTGTTAAATCATTGATGTCTTAAGTGATCAACTTTAACTTCCCTTGAAAGTTAAGACGTCTACGTTTGAAATGCAGCAAGCCTGAAAATGAGCGAAACTGAATTCCATTAATATTTCAGAATTTTCAGGAAAGAAAATAAACTACCCTTCCTACAAAAATAGCATGCAGACATCTGCCTTTACATGGCTTTAATTCATCTCTCCTTTGTCAAATTTGCCCTGTACATTAGTAAATTAAGATTATATCTCTGCAGCTTCATCTTAAGCATCAATTTTTCATTAAAAAAATATCAGGAGAAGTTAATTTTCTTTGTTTATAAATCAAATATCTTGTTTATTGTTTAATTCATGTTTTCTCCTTTAAACATAGTGAACATGAGACTATTTCCCACATGTAAACACATGGATGTTTTGTTTGTGACACATGTTTGTTTCAACTTAACTCACTGAATATGAATTATTTACTGTTTATAGCTATAAATTAAGATTCTTCTTCTTCATGTTTTTCAAATATTAATCGCTGAGAGATCATATTTTATTTTTTAAAGTGATACCGAAAGTGGTGATAGCTATGGGGAGGCTTTTCAAAACAGTTTCGCAAAAGTATAGGGGGGGGAATCCAAAATTACATTGAAGCCATAAAGTAAAAAAAAAAAACAATAAAATAAAACAATAAAAAGCTAACATAAGTCAATACTTTTCCGAAGTCAGCAGTGGCTCGGCCGCCGTTACTGAATCGCTGCGGCAATAAACGGAGCCGTACAGAAGAGTAGACCTACAACATCCGGGCAATAGCAAGCTTGCGCAGAAACGGAATGGCGGAGGTAAGTGAGCGAAAACGAGGGGCTGTAATGACCCAAATGTTTGGGGAACTGGGCCGAATTCAAAAGTTGGGACCCTCCGTGTGGCGTACAACACTGTCGACGGTTTCTCCGGCCGGGGGGCGACGGGCGAAACAGAGCTACGAGGCCGTTTAGAACCGGGAAGCGGGGTGGAGAAATGGAGAACCTCTCCGGCGTATCGTCTCGCACCGCGTTCTTGGCTTTAAAGAGCTCCGTCTTAATAGTACAGCCCTAGAAAACAATAGGCGAACCCGGCGGGGTCTAACGCCGTGGTGCTGAACTGTTTCAGGTGTGTCCGTCCGGGGAAGCGGGTCGAGTTTGAAAGTTGGGAGACTTGACCCGACCCGCTGACGGTAAGTTGCCTCTCGGAAATATGGAAAAACTAGTAATTTCCTTCTCGTGCCCCTCGTCGCGAGCCAGGGAGAGGAAGAGACGTTCAGCACCAAGTCGCAGGAAAGCGCCCCTGGTCAGGGAGACTGCGCCCAACGGGCTGTGAGAAGGACTTCTGGAGTCTTCCAGAGGAGACTGTCGAATTCCGTGGCCGTTGTCACTTCACGTCAACTTTGATTGGATCCACTGAGCTTAGCGTCTACGGAGAGCTTTCCCCCATTAAGATATGGGACAAAGTTTCTCTTTTCCTTAAAGTCATTTCCTTGCGTTCGCCTGTATCTCCTATCTCTAGTTTATAGAGAAAGTTACATTGATTATAAATGATGCTATAGACCTCCAAACCTCCATGAGCTACATATTTATTTGAATGAGTGCTTATATTTCACATGGCAACCATTTTTAAGAAATCTTCAATGCTTTTCTTTCTTTCCTCTGCACTCATTTCCATGTTATCTTTACATTTTTTTTCTCTTTTGTGTCGCATTATCTCCGATCTTTTTTCTGCTCCCTGTCTCATATCCAAACTTGGGTCAGTTTGGTTATGAGACAGGGATATTTGACTTCTAAGTATTGAATTAGCTTGTAAACATCTGGGTTTTAACAGGAGTTTCTGAAATGATCAGAATATACTGATACTTTCATGACTGCGACCCAACTGTGAAGATAAAAAAGAATGAACATGGCTAGAACCAGGTTAAAATTCAAATCCAGGACACTAATGGTCTTGGTAACTCACCTTTATAAGAAATTACGTAATGGCAAAAGAAATGATGTGACTACAGACACATCTGGGAGTTAATCGCATTTTTTGGGGGGATTACTGAGTTTGTAGTTATCAACATATTTCGTGGAAGGAAAGGAGGAAGTAGTGCTCCATTAATGATTGTGTACGTGGCAAGCATAGTTGTTAACCACTAATGATTTAGCTCTCGCATGAGCTTTTTATTGATATTCACAAGATCTGTTGGTTTTGAAGGGATTATTGCCGCAATCGATCATATTCCAGTAGGCTATTATGACTCTCGGCTATCATTTTTGGGAAAGGGGGGAAAGCACTTTTTCTGTATATATTGAAGAGGACACAACCTTGTTCATCTGCAAACTGCAACCCATTCCGACAAACTTTTGTTTGTTTTCTCAACCATAGCTGTTCCATACATAACTCTAGAGTCCCCAAAGTCTCATAACTTATAGAATTTGTGCTATAATGGGATAAGTCAGACCAGTTCCTGTTTGCTGACGCCATTTACATAAACACGTATGCACATAAGCTCGGCTGTTGTCACATGACTCTGAAAACTATGCGCATGCAATACGGTGTGTTATGTGTGTGTGTAGGTGGGTGACCAGCATCTGGACGTGGCTGCAGTGGTCCTGGCCTAGTGGAGTGTGTGCAGCATGCAGCGATGAGACCCCTCAGCACAGGCAGCAGCAGGTGTACCAACTCTCATAGGAGTTGGAGGAAAAGAACCCTCTCTCCATGAAGATGGCAGCCAAATCACACCCTGTACGTTGACGTTTTTTTTTATTTTTGGACAAAATACGTCCCTTTGGTTAGTTTAACTAAATCTAATTGGACATAAAATGTACTCTTTAAAAACCCACTTAAAAATCTGCATTTAAGTATCATATGGATTTTTTATACCTTTATAGTAACATATAAAATCAACAAAAAATATTGGAAAAGTTAATCTTTCTTCATTATTATTGAAATAATTTATTTTGATTTTATGTGTATCAGTTTAAAAAAAAAGGGTTTTTATATGTTGTGATCTTTTTTATTTAACATCGTTTAGAAAAGTAAAACCCTGCTAATGTCAGCCCAAGTCCCAATGGTCTGGTAGCAGCTGCTCGTACTGCCTTAACAAAGCAATAGTTACAGAAATGATAAAACCCAAAGATTATGAGAAACTTTTAAAAGGGGTATAAAATCACTAACCAACAAAACTTTATTTTTGTGTACAATAGGAAATTTAAGCCATACACTAATGATATAATTAATGTTAGTATTTTTCTTAGAGATCAAAGCAGAAGCCTGCAGCAAATTTAAACACTCTTATTTATAACTTAATTATAGATAAGTTACAAAAAACACATGTACTTTTAAGGGCAACAGGGTGGTGTGGTGGCTAGCACCATCGCCTCAGAGCAAGAAGGTTCTGGGTTGGAGTCCCGGGGGAACCAGGACCTTTCTGGGTGGAGTCTGCATGTTCTCCCTGTGTCTGTGGGTTCTCTCCGGGTTCTCCGGCTTTTTCCCACAGTCCAAAAACCTGCATGTCAAGTTGATTGGACATTCCAAATTCCCCTTAGGAGTGTGGTTGTGTGTCTCTGTGTAGCCCTGCGATAGACTGGGGGACTGTCCAGGGTGTACCCCGCCTCTCACCCATTAACTACTGGGATAGGCTCCAGTTCCCCCCGCGCACCTATTAGGGGATAAGCTGTTACGAAAATAGATGGATGGATGTACTTTTAACTTAAAATAAATAAATGTTTCTTTTTTAGCCATTTACTCATTTAAAAAGTTACATTTTAAAGATATTTAACCCAAATTATTAAATGTTGTCTTGTTGAGCTAATCATTTATATTTAAAATAATTGATCAATTTGACTTGATCACACAAATTTGGAATTTTAGTCTTTTCACTGTGTTTTTTCATTTCTAATCCTTCAATTTTGTCTGTATTTGTGCATCACTTGGCCATTTTCTATATAACCAAAATATCAAATGTTGTGTTTGGCAAAAATATGTGAACTTTTATATATTTGGTTATTTCTGTTCAATAGAAGCTAAAAGTCACTGAAAGATTTACATTCTTTAAATTAGCATGGAAGAAATGTGCTCTCTTATATACATCATTAAGCATTTTGATTTAATTTCAGACAATTTCAAAGTATGAATTTTGATTCCATTCAACTGTTGTTCATAGATGACTATCTGTGGTTTATTTCTTTTGGTTACTTCATGCCTTCTTTTCTTATGAAATTGGCTTTTTTTGATGCAGCAAAAGAGGCCAAACCATGATATTACCGCCACCATGTTTCACAGATAGGATGAAATTTTTTTTATTTGATTTCTTTTTTCCATTTCTTTATATAAAAGGAGCACTTTCTGTTTGAATACATGAAAAATTCTCATAATCATTTGCTGATATAAAAAAAAAAAAGCTTTAAGTAACACAGAATTATCCCAGATTCTTTTTCTGAATCTCGTAGAGTTGCTTTACATGCTCTGCTCCTGCAGCAAATGTTGGGCCTGGACCGTGATGGGAAACGGGGCTCTTAAACTTCGAAAAACTCACTGAATATGGTCTTATTTAGTCTTTTTTTTGTGTGCTTTGCCTCCCTCTTTCACCAAGTAATCTCCCTCCCCATGTTGTTGTTCTCTCTATGAATTGCTAAAAGGCCAGTGAGCTTCCTTTGGAGAAGCTGCTGGCTTTGTACGGCTATAAAGTGTCTGATCCAGAGAAGGAAAGCTGCCTTGTGGCTGCCAGTATGCCAGACATGACTCATGAAAAGGTATGATTTAGGACAAAACATGCAACTTATACCACTGACCTTGTCCATTTGTAATTGATCTTATTTTTTTCATCATAGTTATTGTTATTTCTCAATGAATAATGCTGAACTTTTGTGTTGGAAATCAGTCCATTAAAGGTTTAATTTAATTCTTGTACACTTGAGAAATCTGGTTTCTTTTCTTTTTGACAATACTAAACTAATCTGCTGACCTTGCTTGATTGTTTATTTATGGTGTGCAGGGTCAAATAAACGAAGGAATGTTTCACGGGGAGGATGAGGAGGAAACATCGGCTTATGATCTCTCCTCCTCGAACACCTCGGATCTGATTCGGCGTCTCCAGGGTAACGCACATTGAGATGCAGCGTCGACACGTGGGCTGCACATTGTTTTTCTGAGAATGAAAAAGAGAAAAGGCCTCCTTGTTCTCTGCCTCTTATCATTAAAAGTGAATCATGTAAAACCATAGTACGGTCCCCCCTTGGGGGCAATTTGTAGAGGAGGTGGTTGGCCAAAAATAGGATAATTTTGGCAAATATGTCAATGATGTTTTTTATGATAATTGAAGCCTCGTATTTTTGCCTTAGGTAATGAATTGCCCCTCATATTCTGAATCTTATCAGTCAAACTGGATACCAAACTACCTGTTTTTGTTTTATCTTTCTCTCAGTTTTGTTGGTCTTATTTAGGTTGTTGTTGTGTTATACTTGTCTTGCAATAACAAAAAAGAATCAATAAAATTCTTAAATTAGATAAGAAAGCACCAAGGCCTTTGCCAAATCTTCATATCCAGAACCTGTATCGATTTTTGTAATATCCCGCTAATCTTGCGTTTTGTCTGTTTTGTCTCATTAAGGTGGAGATAAAGCCGCGTCAGTCAGCACATCAGATGAGGACTCGGATGAGACCTATATTCCTTCCAGCGAAGAGCACAAGGTAGACACGACGATTTCAATCTCGATAGTTTGTTTTGAAATGCATTTCATTTAGGGAGAAAAAAACGGAAACCTATATTTTGTCTATACTTTCAGACTTTGTTACACAATCTCTTATTGTGATGAAAGGATTTTTTTCTCTATGGGGCACTTCACAGATATCTGAAGAAATAGTCTGTCAGTCTTGAGAATTTTAATGAATTAATTAATTTATTTTTTTCCCCTGATGCTTTAATTTAATCTTTTTTTATTCAAAGTGTTCTAATAGTAATGCATGGCCCAGTCATAGATCTTATTATTATCATTATTATTATTAGTTTTATTATTATTATACAAATAATAATAATAATTTCCCTCTGGGATTATTAAAGTAGTTCTGATTCTGATATGAGTGTTATAATAATTAGTGTTATTTCAGTGTCAAATAACAGTCAGTTTTATTCTTGACTTGATTTGTTTTATACATTTTCTCTGGTAGACATAATAATTTACACTCGATACATGCTGGACAACAGCCAAAGAAAATAAAATGATTCTACTACTGTGTTTCCAGTATACATCATGTTGACTTTGACATTCTTTAGAAAAGAACAGTTTCCACTGTGGAGAAAATCTGTGGAAATCTTTGCAATGTCTGATATGACAGGAAATTCCTGTGTCCTTTTCCATCTCCTCGAGGTCTCTCAATCAGAGTTGTCCTTCAGATCTTTCTCAAGTTTATGTGGAATTTTCTAACATTGATTATAAAATTAGTCAAAGAGGGGGGCACGCACACTTGTTTTGACAGTTTTGTCTGATCAGTTTCTAAAATTTTTGTAGTTATTTTATTTTTATTTGCGGAACCTTTATTATACCTGTGGTTTTTCTGGCTGGCTAGAAATGCTGCACTTTTCACAATGAATGGGGATAACGCCCTAAAAATTTCTCAACCTAAGATAATTGTTTCTTTTGTTTGTAGTCTCATTCTAGTCTAGACCCCTACAATTTCAGTTTAACTACTCGCACATCTCAGATTTTGATGCAATGTCAGCTTTCGCTTGCATGTGTAACACTGGTATCACAATCACCCTTTTGAATTCTTCTTCAGGAGATTATGGTTGGCTCCATGTATCAAGCAAAAATCCCTCCAATAAGCCCATATAGTTACCAGGAGAGAGGTAAGCAACGCATTTTAAAGGTCTGACAAAATAGGTGTGGCTGAGTTAAGAAGTTTTGTCAAGTTTCTTTATGATATTCATATTCCATCGTAATTGTGTTGGATTAAAATCAAAAGAATTCAATTTTCTGATCTGGAAATGTAATGAAATCGGAGCAGCTCAGTCGTCAAACTCTAGCATGGCTACCCTTCTACTTCTTAGAACTTTTTATTTTATTTTTATTTTTTAAGAATCAGTCATATGTTTGTATCATACACTTTCCAAACTCAGCCAGTGAAATGTCTGGTGTGGCGTTTGCATGAGCAAACTCACCCTTTTCCTCCACTTCCTCCAGCCTACAGCAGTGAGGACCAGTTGCTGTGGAAACCAGAGGTCCTGCCGGCGCAGGAAGTCGAGGCGTTCTTGCATAATGCACAGAGGTTCCGTGGCCAGGAGGGGGCCGAATGGATAGAAGGGGCTCCCATCCAAGACAATGAACAGGTACGCAGAATGTTGTAGACTAGAAAACATCATTACCAAGCAAGTGAGTGCACCCTTGGATGTCTAATGCTGTAACATAGGGCACTCTGATCATTGACCCTGAGAGAAAATGGGAATTAGTGAATATGTACCCCTAAAATTGAACATGTGGGACTTTATTTACTTATTTGAAAGATTAGACATAGACTTAGACTTAGACTGAACTTTATTGATCCCTTGGGAAGACTCCCTCAGGAAATTAAGGTTACCAGAAGATACTGGAGAGGCAGCCATCTACACAGCGCCAGAATTAGTGAATATGTACCCCTAAAATTTAACATGTGGGACTTTATGTACTTATTTGAAAGATTAGCTGATTTTTAAATTGTTCAGACACCCTTTAACCAATTGCCTTTTATCTGAACGTGCCTATACCCAGTGGTCAACTCGCATCATAAGTATGTCTTCTTTGTTATGTTTCCCCCGTCTTTCTTTCTTAAATTGCAGGCACTGTATGAACTAGTAAAATGCAGCTTTAACACAGACGAGGCACTGAGGCGATTACGTTTCAATGTGAAAGTGTTCAGCGGTAAGACATTTCCTGTTGTTCTATTTTTGCCTTTGTATGTATATTTAAACTAATATTTTGGATAGAGCCTGACATGATTCACCATGTCACTTGCAGTTGCTGTACATTGTGTACAAAGTGCCCCTGTAAGCATGGATAAACCTCAACAGAGGGATTCCCACGCCGAGAGCTGTGGCCTAGTGATCGATGTCATTACACAGCTTTAGAAAGTTTGAGGGCAAAAAAAGATGCAGACGATACTGCTGAATTCAACCATTTTATTTACCAAGCTCAGCACTGCAGAGGATAAATTGATCACTACTTCGGCCTCAAGATCTTTTATTCTGCAAGGAAACGCAACTCTGCTCCCTATTTGGAAATACGTTTGAAATGTCAAGAAAATGTCCACAAAACCCAATAAAGACTCTAACTGAGCGGATTTCCACTTTATTATGTTTGTGGAAATGATGCATTTCTTTTTAAACCTAACTCTGAATTGAAATGAACACATTTGACTTTTATTCCTCTCTTCCTACTTCTTCAGAGGAGTTGTGTTCTTGGAGCGAGGAGGAGTCTAAGAACTTTGAGCACGGCTACCGAGTTTACGGGAAAAACTTCCACCTCATCCAGGCTAACAAGGTGAGGAACCCGGCGTGGAGCGTGTTGCAGGCAGTCTGCCTGACGATACGCAGACGCTGCGCTCGGTTCAACCATTTTAACTGGGCAGCCTCCTTCCCTCTTCTCAGGTACGAACACGCTCGGTGGGAGAGTGTGTGGAGTACTACTATATGTGGAAGAAGTCCGAACGGCACATGTACTTTACCCAGCAAGCCACCCGGTTCAGCAGAAAGAAATACACCCTGCAGTCGGGGAGCGTGTGAGTAGCGCCGGGACACCGGCACGCTGAGCCCAAACATGCAACTTGTGTTGAATGGTCGTCAATTAGCCTCGGATGGGGTTCGAAGCGAGCTAAAACACAGACCAGGCGCTGGTTTTGGCTTTTTTTGGCTTCTTCTTTTACAACCTCAGTGGCCAAAATCTCTTTTTATCTTCTTTTTCTTTCTTAAGCATGTAAAAAATAGGCATAAAAAATTCATTTTAATTTCAGAAAACATCCCCCTATCCTCTGAAAATGGGATTTGGAGTTCAAATGTCGGCATTAAATCTAATTTTTGTGGTATAGCCATAGATTGAATTGGAAAATTATTTGTGTGTTCACTTGATGCTGCCCACAGAAACTAAATCACCTGGTATGTAATAAGAAAAAAACAATCTTTGAAAGTAGCAATGAAATAGGCAATAAAGTTCAAATTGATTCAAGGCCATGAGGAGAGTAGAATCTCTAGTTACGAAGTCAGAGGAAAGAAAGTGCACTGTGATGAAGAACCAGTAGATAGTCAGAGCGGAGCAGGGACAGAATCAAATTATGGTCTGAGTGTCAGTGGGCTGGCATGACAGATAAAGGTCTGCGCTGTGTTAATCACTCTCTGCACAGACCCGAGCAAATGCCAAACCAGTTTGCTTTTCTAGGCTGGATGCCTTCTTGTTTAGTTTTTTTCTATACAAACTTACATAAAACCGGCTCCGAATTTAGGCCTTCCTTAGTTTCCTTCCGTAGTGGAATCATTTCTGTGCTTTCTGTCAGTAATTGTTACAAATAATTTAGACAAAGAACATGAAAAGGCAACATAACATAAGGTTTTATCCCAGCATCCTCAAATGAGGACATTATATTTTTGCATCTGTTTACCATGATACTTAATTTTACTTTGACCTCTTAGCCTCACATTAAATGGGTCAGACATAAATGTTTTCAATCTAAAATAAAATGTTTTTTATACATTTTCAACCAATCATGTCCTTAATCAAAATTGTGTACTTAATACATTTGGACCTTCAGAACTCAATTTCTGAGTAAAAATAAATACACATTTTAAATACAAATATATAAACTGCTGAAGAAAACTACCAGTACCATGAAAAAGTCTGTTTATTAAATGTATTAAGCCCAAATAATCCCATATATCTCGGGAAAGTATAAACACTCAACAAATAAAAGCTCGGGTCTCATGAGTTTAGATTAATGAGAGCCTGAGTAATAAGTCCTTTTTTTTTTTTTACGTATCTGTTCCCATGAATTTGAGTTTCAGACAGCTAAAATTGCTATAATAATACATTTGTCACAGGGAATTGTGTTTTACGAGTTTTTTCTCCACAAAGGAAATCAAATAACAAATACAGTGCAAGTGCTTCTTTGTTTGACATACGAGTGCACAAAATTAAAAAAGGACACCTACGGTGGTTGTGTTGTGCATTTTAGTGAGGATGGAGACCAGGACGGGGAGGGTGTGGACCCCGAGGGAAGCAACAGCTCATCAGAGTTGCTGTCACCAAATTCCATTGGCGCTGGACAACTGGAGTCCTCTTTACCTCCTCAGTCGAACCTGGAACTAAACAAACAAGGTAAACGCCTGCAGTACCCGATGTAATGAGCTCAGTTCAGGTCCAGAACTCCCTTTGCCCCCCCCCCCCTTTCTTTTTTGTAGAAAGTAGTTAGTTAGTTTCCAAATGTGCACTTAGATCCCTTATTTTCCAAATGCAGAGTATTCTGCAAATCCTCATAAGTACGCCTGAGGTTTGGTTTGACCCGTCTGTCTGTATGTAAACCACAAATCATATCACATATTATTTACATCACATACTTTTTTTTTCATCGGTTGAATCCTACATGCTGTTAATCGGACTTTGCTGAATTTATTATTTTTGACCTGATTTTATTTCTTATTGTCAACACCTCTCATTCATTATGTTTTGTTATAAAAACATGTTTTTGTCTCCCCACCTTTATTTCTTTTTTTCCCCTTTTTGTTTTGTGGCGCCTGTTTTGTGTTTGTGCTTTTGCATGCATGCATATATGTGTGTGTGTGTGTGTGTGCGCGCACGGTGTGCTTGTTGACTCGATAACTCCAGAAGAGGAGGGCCGCCCCAGGCGCAGACGAACGCCCCGCTTTCTCTTAAAGCCATGACCTCTGTCTGCGCAGGCCACAGAAAGCAGGCTGGGCCTGCAGGTAAAGAAACCAGAATCACAGAGCGTGAGACCACCGAGTCAGAGGCTGCTAGCAGATTGATTAGTTGTTGTTGCCATCACAGGTTCAGATGATTACGTGTTAGCAAAATGCTAATTGCTTTAGTTAAGAATGCATTGTGAAAGATGTGAATTCAGCCAAGGACCGGAAGTTAACTCATTGGCTGCCAAAGAGGTCTATAGACGTCTTTTATGTTTTTCAATGAGAGTGGTTGGGGGACGATCTGCTAAAGCTTGTCCGTAAATATCGGCTTCTAGACAGAGTATGTAGTAACAAATTGACCCTCTAGATGGCAGTGCCACTTTTGATGGGAGATGAGCATAGACTGTAGGCAAGTAAGAAAAACGTAACGGTTCGCTATGAGAGAACATGTCGCCGGTGAGACGCAAGTCCAGGAAGAAAGGAATAAGGTAGAAACAAAAACATTTTCATGATGAAAGAAGAGAGTCTACTCTTTCTTTTGGTGTGTTCGCTGTTTACATAGTCATAGCACAAACTATTCTGTGGCTCTTGAAAAATCAGTCAAAATGCTCAAAAAACTCTGGCAGTCAATGAGTTAATAGTCATTATTTCTTTAGTTGTTTTTTCATTTTTAGTCCTTTTACTGTCAGAGAGGCAGAAATAAAAGCTTGTATTAATGTTTGAATGGAGGCGTAACCAGAATGCGAACCACAAACTTGTTCCTGTCTACCCAGATGGTGAGCTGATAATGAGTCTGTCAGAGCTCTGTGGCGACGAATGCTCCCAGCAGCCGTTTGAATGTCCCTTCTCTTTCCCGTCCGTGGAAGACCTGCGGGACCGTGGCTCAGATTGTCGCCGTGGCCGTGGCCGTGGCCGTCGTCCCTCAGCTCCGGCCCGGTCGCCGCCCTCTGCCCAGAGCTCCCGGTGGGCGTGCGGCAGCCCGCCGCGCCCCCCCGACGGCCACGGCCTCCCGGGCCCCTGCTTCTACCAGCTGCACGTGCGCGGCGGGCCTCTGGCCTCGGACGGCTCTGACCGCGGTAACGGGCTTCAGCTGGAGTCCAGCCTCCCGTCCTCCTCGTCCGCTGCCCTCTCCCCACACTTCCAGGCGCTCAGCAACCTGCTGCACCCGTAGCCCATCTTCATTTTCTGCCACAGTGAGGACGCACTGACATTTTTAAACTGAACAATGCGCTACACCTTTTAGAGCTTTGCTTGACATTGGACTTCACACAAATCAAAGAATCCAGGACATTTATTTGACTTTTAAAGAAGAGATGAAACTGTTGTCATGAAGATTATGTATCCATTAAATTTTTGATGTTCAAACCCCGTCTACTGGAAAAAAGATGAGGGTTTTAATCAGTACTTTCAGACATTTATCATGAGCTTACGGCCACAGAAGTGAGTGTAGGCCTGCAAACGGCACAGTGCAGGTGGTCCGGCTGCTGTCCACTTCTGCTCAAAGAGGTCAGTGATTGACCACTTTAACCGTTGCTTCTTCATTTTCCCATCATGAAAGGAAAGTTCTGGCAGTTACTCAGATTTTTTTTTTTTTTTTTTTTTTACGGGTTTGCTTTGACAAGAACCAAACTATTTGTTTTTCTTTTTTCTTTGCTGTTGCTCATATGATGAAGCACAGATTGTGCTGCTCGCAGTTAAATGTCACATTTTCAAATGGAAACTGAAGCTTCAATCCTTCTCATCCCGGTCTGTAACTCAGTGTAACTGTTTCTCCTTTTTTGTTTGGTCCCATGTAGCTTCTGCCCTCCAACATCCTGTCTGTAGAGGTCTGTCAGATAATGATTCGGTTTAATGAAATACCTGAAACTTACGACATTGTGTAAGATTCCATTAATTTGAATATGGAGCTACATTGAAAGACATACTTTTTCTGCAGGGTCTTTAATTTTCTTTTGTGTTTGTGGACGTTATCTCTCATCGCACTTCCCTGGAGACTTTGCCTTGAATTTTTCAAGGTGCAGTGTGTTGCTACTAATTTGTAATATGTTGAATTATCATCATGGTCATCAGTAATTAGAGAATGAAGATAAAGTGAACTGTTGAATCTTAAATGTATTTAGCGGCTATTTTGTCAAACTCTGTCCAAATTGATTCTCAGGTTCTTTTAATTTGAAGATCATCAATTAGCAGTTAATAGGAAATCAATAGGCAGGGGAGTGTTTATATTATTATTCCACCTTGGTGGGCCCATGGTGGTTATATATATATATGTTGTGGTCCAAAGCTTTTCCTAAAGTGGAAGTTGAGGCTCCTTGGCCTTGAAACTTCCAGCACGGGCCGTCTTTAGCTGATGGAATCACCCAACCTTAAATCCCAACCACAAATGCAAATAGTTTCTACGTCCTCTTTCCTACTCGAGTCACATTCAATTGTTGATTCTAAATTAATTACAAATTACACATGACAGTGTTTTGGAGTATTCTGTGTTGAACTTTGTGTTACAAGCTCTGCGATACTGTTTCCTGTAAAACCAATCACAGAGGAGCACTTTAAGCATTTTAAGATTGAAGATTGAGTTTAGATTACACAATACACAATAAGTAATTTATATACAATGTCTCAAGAGGTAAATTTAAAAGTCCCGCGGAAGGAAATGATTGGCATCCACTTCTAGTCATCCATCTGTCCTGTGTTACTTCTCTTTTCTCTCTTTAAAAAACTTATATTTTTTTGCAATTTATCTTGTACTGCTTTCATAATATTTCTTTATTATTATATTTTGTAAAGAAGATGAATTAAATACAACGGTGGAAATATTCAATTGTATTGTGACTATATGAGTTATTTTGACATCTTACTCTGCTCCAGCACTTGTTTGACGAGATGGAAAAGTAGAGGATTTCTGTACACAGAAATGTAAAATAGAAACAAAAACAAGGAAACCACGATTCACTGATTTACACAAAGACATTCACTTTTTAAAAACAAGACGCAGCATTCTCATACAGAATATTATCTCATCTTGCTTGTGATAGTAACATTTGTCTGACCAGGAAATGACAACTAAATGCTGAAGGAGGAAGTTACAGTTTACAAAATGCGGAGGCAGCATATTGCAGTTTATCGTGTAGTTAGCAAAGTGTCAGCAGTGTTATGGGAAAAAAAGCTAATATGGGCAGAAGCTTAGCAAAAATACATGAGGATGAAATTAAAACTAAATTGAGAAGTTATAATGAATTGATCTCCAAGGAAAATAACATAAGTCATTTTTCCACAATGTTAATTGTAAAGGCTTTGAGTATTCCTTCAAAAAGAAGATGCTAAACATGATCCACAAATTCTGCCATGTTATCTGAAACAAAACCTGATTGAAATGGGGAAAAATTCAAAGGGAAATCAGTTTTATGGTGAGATTCATCCAGATCTCACATGTTGTCTTGAAAGCAAATTTGAAAGCAATAAACAGCTTTTACAGCAATGTATTATAATTATTATTATTGTATTATTATTATTGTGGTATTATTCCATCCATACCATATTTTTTTTCAATGACAGCTTTGAATATTCCAATAGTACAATTCTACTACATCTATTATTAGTACATTTACTTTTCGTTGGTGTTATATGATCAGCTAGAGTACTACAAAGGTGTTTTTGGAATTGGAAACAACAGGAAATAATCTTGTTACTTCAGTCCACTCTTACAACCAATTTGCAGATTAAGAGAGGACTAATCTGTTTTGTTTTGTTACATTTTAGTGAGCTTAATGTTCAAACTCAGCATTTTTTTCTCTGTATTCGCACCCCATTTCACCTCATTTCCTGTTGGATTGACTTCACATCACCATATTCCTTTGTAACATTTACCTTTTGAATGAAATCTTACTTGAATCTTAGTCTTCATCCCCTCTGTGTCAATCCTGCCTTTCATTTAAATTTATACTTCCAGGTTTCTTTCTAAATTCATCTTTTCTTTAAGGCTTCTTGCCTGAGTAATACGCCCCCAGGATAAGACTCATAAACTACAAATGTTTTACAATACGGTGTCCCGGGTTTTAACGCTCTCCAAACGCTGACGTTAGAAACTTGTGTTGGGGATCTATCTCCACCGTCTTTGCTGGCACACCCACAAAACGATGGAAGCAGGTAAACAAATTCCATCACCCGAAGAAACAAAGCTGTCTGATATCCGTCCATCTGTTCATTTGCAGGATTGCTGGAGCCTATCCCAGCTGTGGTTAGACGAGAGGAGGGGTACACCCGGTCCATCACACAGAGATGAACATTCACTCCCACAGGTAATTCACAATAACTGGGTTTTCTCACCGGCAATGGCAGTTTTATTTGTGGTCAGAAAGTATTCCATGTGTGCCGTTTTTCCCATTTTTCACTAATCTAATCCCACATTTGTTACTGTCTAATCCATTGTTCTCCAACAAGTTTCAGATATTTCTATTTTGAATTAAAGCAAACATTCATCATTCATGCACATTTCATGTGCATGCTGCTAGATAATATCACTTAACCTGGATGCAATGGGAAACAACAGTCAAAACGTCTTGTGACACACATTTTAACAGGATTCGTAATGTTTCTTGCTAGTTTTGACTGATGCTATGCATTCAGATATTTTATCTCTGTCTACCAGGGAACCTCAGGGAACAAACAAAATCCATCACCATCCAGAATATCTGTAGAACATTTCGGGTCTCAGTGTTTTTTTGCCTTTATATGCAATCATATTTAGTTTTTCTATGCACTGACATAATGACTGAGTTTAATTCTGGACACTGTGGGTTCCAGGACAAATAGGAATTATAGAAATGATGTTATTTACATATAGTCTCTCTTGATGGCTGAGTCTTCTTCAAGAAACTAAGCTACTCCCTCCAATACTTGGTAACAGGTTCAGATGCAGTCTATGGCCAGTAGAGGGAGTTGAATAACCAGGCAGCCAAGAAGAGAAGTCAAGTTTGGTTTATAGGAAGGTGGTGAGTGAGAAAAATCCACTGAAAGTCGTCAAAAGTTAGACGTCTTTCTGAACATAACTAGATTTTGTGTCAGTTGTGTCTTTCGACCAACTTTTGCCAAACAAATTGTTACGTTTTCTTGCTTGTTCATTTTTTAAAAGAGCGCTCACGTTCAATGTGACCATTTGAAAACTGGAAACTGTCTTAGCAAAAAATCGCATTTCACAAGTATTTTATAAGCATATGAAATATGAAAACCATACATAGGGATCCACAGATGTCCCTCATTCAAATGTAAAGAGACCCTTTGAAAGAAACGCTGGAACTGGAGCTTTTCAATATTTTTTTGCTTTGAATCTGTTCTGTTTTGTCAAAGCTTAATAACCATAAACTTCTTGGTATGAAGATTCATTTTCTCTGAGTTAAATGTAGCACATTTAAATATAGTGGCCACAGTTTTGCTTCTTGGAAAACTTCATCAAACTTGTATTAGCTTAGATTCACAGAAACGACTTTTTTCCCCCTTTTTTTTCTTTTTGCACGGTGAAAATTTGATTACTTTCCCAGAATGCAGAATCATGTGTTCATTCAAAAATGTGCAAAAAGGGATCTTGAGTAATCTTGATGTCACAAAATGGTATCTTGTGTCTGTCACTCTAGGATCCGAAGCTAATAAAGTCCTATTTGTAATTTTACAAGTATGTTCTGTGATCTTGAAATAGATATCCAAATCTCCGAATGTTATGAACAAACAAAACCTGTTTTTTCACAGTGTATTTTTTGTACGGAGAGTTTTGACCTGTATATGTGATTTTACAGTATACAGAGTAGCAGAGATTGTAGAATCCAATGCTCAAATTATTCGGTCAGAGGGGACAAACAAAAGAGGTCCGTAAATGGATCTTCACTTACACTAATTACACATTATATATCAATGTAAATATTGGGAAATTACTATTTTTAAAAGGTGATGTAAGGCATTTCATCCAAACTATTAGGTGTGTTCATTGTGAAGTTGTTATTCTTTTCATGCTTTGCAGATAAGTTTATGATTCATGACATTAAAAAAATTATATTTTAGGTCTGTTTTCCTAATGTAGACACAGTGTAAACCAGCGACACTTCATTTTTGTCTCAAGCCTTTAACATCTACACTTCGAAAAAAGGATGGGAAAGTATTTGTGTGCATTTTTCAAATTTC